TTTATCTTTGAATATTTTATCATTGAATATTAATTCTTGCAAAAAGTAAAATGTAAATGGCAATTTGTTTGATGTTAGATTCCTTTTAAAAACTAAATTATTTAAGATAAAAAAATGCATATATTGAAATCAAGAAAATCAGTTTTAATACAGAATTTGATTATTGGGGCCATTTTTACCTACCTGTCATATGGGGCCATTTTTACCGGGGCCATTTTTTCCGGGGCTTTTTTTTCCGGGGCCATTTTTTCTGGGGCCATTTTTTCCGGTGCCATTCTTACCGTACACCTGGCAGACTCACCCTCTCCTATAAACAGTAGTAACTGCTTAGTTTTTACGAGATCGCGAAGCTCTTTTACACCATCCAATAACATCCGGTGACTTTCACGAGTAGCCATTCTTGATATGTGGAGAGTGCACGCAATCGAATCGAAGAATGAAAATACTGTAGCCACGTCAACTAAAAATTTGCCAGTCAATGAACTGTTATATTTAACCTTTGTGCAACCATAGAGAAAATAGTCTATGGTGCAACATGCTAATCGATATTTATAGCCATTGTAAGTACCCGAACAATAACTGTTTACTGACGGGTATTTTCAAGGAAGGGAAAGTGCCCATTACGTAATGCATCCGAAAAAAGGTGTATATTGCGCACTGCGCAATGAGATGAACCTGTTATGAATGTTTTATGGACATCCAAAGATAATCGAATTGTTCATCAATTGATTACGATTTATTGTATCATTGTGCATATCGAGTTTCTGTACCAACCACCAGAGTGTTAGGCCTACTGTACCAGTCTGTAAATTATAGAATAAACTTCATTTTCATAGGCATTTCAGCAGTCAAGTAAACCCACGTAAGTACCTACAGTACGTTTGGTAATTCGAAGGGTAAGGAGGGGACATGCGAGGTTATAGAGAGCACAGCCAGCTAGCTATCTAGCCTGTAATATCAGTGACTGGCTACTACTATTACCATGGTACAGAATTGGCCCATCTCTTGGCTCTTGCTACTGCAATGATCAGGAGAAACGCTTTGTACTTTATAATAATCACTTCGTTCTTATTCACATCCGGTTAATTGTTGTAAAAGAAAACTGCCAATTAAAGTGATTTTATACTGTTCATTGGTCACCTTTTGTATCATCTAAACTAATTCCTCCATAGTATAGTGTAATCTCCATGGAAGTTTTAGTGAAAGAACAGCTAAAAGAAATTATCAAGGAGTTGCACCAGGCTGCAAGGCATAGTTAATTTCAATATAACTTTATCATATTTTAACAAAGGATGTCTACATGGAGACTGTTGGTGCTCTTTAATTTAGCCTCATATGAATACAGCTATGACATTGTTTCCAACCTGAAATTGAAATGCGTGATTTGAAACGCGGGCCGGCGGCCAGCAGAGCCTCCTCCAGGGTCCAGGATGGGGGTTCTGGGGCGATACCCCCTGGGCGTTCTGATGATCTGGGCATTTTTAAGCTGTTTTTTGGGAGTGTTTATTGAAAATATCTGGTACATAAACAAAAATATTTTTAATAAAGCCACGTACAGTTTGAGTTTCAATGTATGTTCAATTTGAGCACCCAAACATTCATTACTCAAACAAACAAAAAATGAATAGGCTGCGGTAGTGAACCTTTCCTAACATTCAAAACTCTTTCTACCCCTAATGTTATACTCCTACACCCCTGATTCTTAATTACTTTGTTTAAAGGGCCAACATTTATTTTGAGTTGGGCTCACGGGCCAAAAAATAATATCTGAGTACCGGTAATTAAGCAAGTCTTTATAATGTTTTTGATAATTTCAAATTCTACTTTATGTTACAATATATGGTAACAAATTCTGTAACTTTAATCAAAGAATACGTGCATAATTATCAATATTTTGTTCACATCCTAGTTGATTAAAACGATAAGAAATTGCATTCGGTGTATAATAAACATTAGTAACATAAACATTAAAAATATATAATACGCATGCTTTATAAAACATAAAATGACCTAATGTTCTGAAAGATAAACAAAATAAATAACATTAATTGAATGAAATATAAATGATGTAGGTGTATTTGCTACCATCAACCTAACACATAATTTAAAATAAAAGTAGGCGTATCGTAGAAGAGAATCACTAAATGGGCATTGACTTCAAAAGTACTGTAGAAATACAGAGATAATACTTCTGCTTGCTGGAGTGTTTTTTTTTTTATGGATGTAGAGAAATATGGGTATATAGAACGACTAGAAAATAGGTGTGATATTGAAATTCCAAAAGAGGAAACATGTTATAAAGATATTCTGTTTTCTTTCCTCTATTTCTTATGTAAACCCGGATTTAAACTTTCAAAACGTTTCTACAATGTGTATTTAGGCTTCACCAGTACTGTATTGCGAATAACGCTTTTGTATCATCGGCACACCTTTTTAGTGTAACCTTAAAACCGACTAGACAATAATTAATTGATATAGCGAAAACACAAAATAAAAAAATTTAAAAAAAATATGTTCTCTCTCTTATAAAGTGTAATGAAAATAACCTGATGGATAAAAAATCAATAGGAAAACTAGGAGGAACAATGCATCGAAAAAAATGGGAAGAAATAGCCTGGGGAATAACTCTCTAGGTAGAAAAAAAATCTGTGGGGAAAATTAGCAGGTGGCAAGTAGCCACTGCCATTAGTGCTATATTCTGTAAAGTAAAGCCTCAAACAACCTCGATTTTGAGTCTACTAAATTTAAAAATCTTCCCAGGATTTTTTCTAGATATAGCTAGAACTAACTTATTCTTTTGTGTTTTTTGATAGCAGATTATTTTTTAGATTTCAGTGGGTTAACCAAACTCAAAGACAAGCTTGCGTACAAACATAGCATGCGCATTCATCTTCTATACAATAGGAGCCATGTTCACACACATGATCTTTTTAAAATTAAAAATCAAAATTTAAAAGTAGATAGACATTTTGAAAACAAGAACAAAAAAAAACCAAAAAACAATTTCTCCCAAATTACAGAAACTTCTTTTTGGATGAAGTTGAAACTAATACAAAAACAAATTCTTTTGTATTTAAAATATATTTTTAAAATGAATTAAGAAACATTAGAAAATTCAAGATTAAATACATTAAAAATAACAAGCTTCTGTTCTTTTGACTTTTGGTAGTTAATATATATTTTTTTACGAATTTTGTTGCTGTCTTCATTTATAATTATAAAATTAATTATCAAATGATTTATTTTAATTCGATTTTATTTTTGGGTAGCTTCAAGATCAAATTTGGCCCGTGGGTTAAATATTAAGAACCACGGTCCTACACGTTTGGAGTCCATAGGAGGTCGGCCTTACCCACCATAACCAGAACCTAACCATACCAATCAATTTTTAGTAACGCGTCAGTGAATTAAGTATTCACGTAAATACTGTACTTACCTGACTGCATGCGTGTTTGATGCTAGCTGACAACAGCAGTTTCAATCACATAAACAACGTTGGTTGTGACAATGAACACGCAAGGCCACACGCGCCATCAAACGAGATAATAAGCGCTCTAATGACTCAAGTTACTGCATGATTTTTAAATATTTTAAAATAAAACTAATGTCTTCTAATTTTAAATATATTTTCCCTGAATTCGTGATTATTCGTCATCATGCGTAGACTAAATGCGTGACAAATTTAAGATCATGCGCGTGTTCCTGCCAAATGCGTGTTACATCCAAAATCACTTTGAAATGTGGGACCGTCCCTCACGATGCAAGACGGTTGGTAACTATGCTAGGATTTTTAAAAACGTTTCACGTTTGTATGACAGTCGTCCTTTGTCTATAGAATACATGATAAAAATAAAGAACGTAGGTTAGAAATTTAGAGTTTGTAGAAACTTGTGCCAATAATTTAACATAATAATAACCAGAAAAATATCTGTCTCTTATACACATCTAGATGTGTATAAGAGACAGCTTAACAACTTAGGGGTTTCAAATGCTTATTATATCGATTTTAGAGTCTATTATTATGTAGAAAATACATATGCAGTCATTGTTTATTTTCAGTAAATTCTTGAAACATGGAAAACACAATTCAGTTCCAAGAAGAAGTGCAGGAAGCATTTGGTAAATACTATGACCATAGTAACTATCCAACAACAGTGGCCAGTGAGCTCTTGCAAGTGCTTTCCACAAAATATGAAAACAATCTGACATTATTCAAAGAAGACTTTGTGAAACCTACACAAAAATTGCTGGAAACTCTTAAGGTAAATTTGTTTATTATAAAACCATTTACCAGTAATAATCTTTAAAGTTAGCCGAACCCCCTCCTAAAGTGTAGTTTTCACTGCCAAGAGTAAAATATGTGTGTGTGTGTGTTTTGTGGGGGGAAGGGGGGGGGGGGGGAAGTTGCAGTGAAATGTGATAACCTCTGCCCCTTGGGCAGATCTATCTTCATTTGTAAAAATAAAATAAAATTGGAGGCCCATAGGAGCAAATAGTATTCGTCCGGCTAAGGAGAATAAATTCCCACCCCCGCGGCGCCAGATGATAGTCGTAGGATTCAGAACTTGGTCCCACCATAGTTGAAGCTAAGGTGAGCAAACATTTTGAAAAAAGTACTACCTGATGCCTGGAAATTGCACTCTACTGAAGTAGATGTTTCTAATTTTTTTACTACGAGGGTCCCTCCCTTCAATATTTATTTTATGTGAAACAGGCTTCCAGTGTATTTTTTTTGCAAAATTGTAGAAAAATATATTGATGTTCTAAGAAATCTTATTGTCCATAAGCCTTGTAACTGCCGTGAGACCTCTTCCCCTCCTATCCAACTCCCACTCGCTTCCCCTCCTATCCAACTCCCACTCGCTCATCCAGGAAGGAGAGGGATATGTTACACCAGTGTCCGCCTGAAATCTGCTACCCACCTAAGGCCTAACCATAGTGGCAACTTTTGTAATTAGACACCTAGATGCCCGAAAATGTCAGTTTGATACTGTCTTCATTTTGCGTAGGATATGAATTGATATCAAGCTGCTGTTATTAATTGACTGGAATAGTCGTAGCAGGGTCACCAACGGGCAGTTTAACATCATGACCCTCCCATTTATATTACTGGGTGAAGAGAGGCAAACGTAAGTAGGTGGGGTCCACTCCCCCACCCTCTCCCATCGGGAAGCCTAGCAACCCCTGTCTTAAATTTTTCGTTGAATTTTTTTTAAATAAAAGATAATAAAATGTTGTGTCTTGGGGTTCTTTATTTAAAAAGGATGTCGGGGTACTAGTCCCTCTGTCGGAGGTACTAAACCCCTGTCAGCGGTACCAGCCCCCCTGTCTGGATAGAGATAGCTTACCACTGCAACCTATACGATCACAATTGTATACAACCAAGACAATTCAATAACCACATATTGTTGCACCAATCGCACTAAACAGTTTTTAATCCCTAAAATTTGAGAAGAGCTTAGGAATTCATGCTCGAGATTTTTCCCTGACCAACCTTGTTGGAAATTCTCTGCTGGAAATTCCCCGACAGGGGTCCAAGGGGGGTCAAGAGGTCCCTGACTGGATCCTTTGACCCCTGGACCCCCGGTAGCACTTCCCCTGGTAAGTAAAGTGTCTACCCCCATCTACCTTTAAATATGCCTATTGATCATCGGTTTCGCGGTACATCTTTTAAAAAGGTTTTTATTTGTGATTTTAATAATAATAATAATAATAATAATAACGATTTTTAAAGGGCAAACATCACCACCAAAAATTGGTGCTCAAGGCGCAGTGTCAAAACAACAGGTAGAGAACAAACAAATCACAAATAACAAAGTGTAAACAAGTTTATTATTTTATTATTGACAATTAAGCAGCACAAGAAATCAAAAATTAAACCAACCTTTTCATTTTCTCAAAGTAATACCATCCTTTTTATCATATATTAACTTGTCAGTTTTTCCTGGAAATATTTTGCATTTTATTTCATTGCATCTTATGTTCATCAAAAAATTACTTACCTTACCTTTCTGATGTGTTACTTGTTTCCTTATATATTTTTTTTGTCTATTCCTTTCTCATGTTACCTTATCTTTTTTTTTAGTTCTTTCTCATGTGACTTTTTCTTTCTTTTCATTTTTTCTTTCTGTAACCTTATCTATTCCTTTTCGTTATCTTTTTAATTCTCCTGTACTTTCGTTTTCTTTGTCTTTCTTATGCTGCCTTATCTTTCTTTCTCTTTACTTTCTCAGATTATCTTTCTTTCCTTGTTCTTTCTCATGTGACCTTTTCTATTCTTTCATTTTTCTTTCTTATGATTCATTATCCATTCCTTTTCATCATATTTCTTAAGTTTCCTGTTCTTTTCCTTTTCATTGTCTTTCTTATGTTTCCTTATCTTTTCTTTCTCATGTTACCTTCACTTTCTTTCCTTGTTCTTTCTCATGTGACCTTTTCTTTTCTTTCATTTTTTCTTTCTTATGTTTCCTTATCCATTCCTTTTCATTTATATTTCTTCAGTTTCCTGTTCTTTTCCTTTTCTTTGTCTTTCTTATGTTTCCTTATCTTTTCTTTCTCTTTTCTTTCTCATGCTACCTTATCTTTCTTACCTTGTTCTTTCTCATGTTACCATTTCTTTTCTTTCTTATGTTTCCTTAACCATTACTTTTCATTATATTTCTTAAGATTCATGTTCTTTTCCTTTTTAATTTATTAGACCTCTCACCTCAAGTTTCCAATCCTTACAATCATATCCTTTCAGTTTCCTTACCTATTCATTCAAGTTACATGCAAGTATCGTCGTGACTTTTCTTATTCCTTATTTCCTAACTACTTACCGTCTAATTTTGAAAAGGCATCTCTTAGCAGATGTGATTTCAGAGACAATTTGAAAGTATTTATTGACTCACATGATCTAATTGTGAAAGGCAGATTGTTCCACAAGCGTGGAGTAGCAACAGAAAAGGCTCTGTCTCCCCAGGAATTGTGTGATTTGGGCTGATGCAGGAGGAGTTGATTGGAAGAACGTAAGTTACGTTTAGGAGCATACCAATGGAGCATATCTGCGATGTATTCTGGAACCAAGTCAGTTTTGAATTTAAAAACGATCAGCAAAATTTTGTAAATAAACCGGTGCGTTAGAGGAAGCCAGTGTAAATCTTTCAGAATGTTGGTAATATGTGCATATTTTGGAGTTTTAGTGATTAGACGTGCAGCCGAATTTTTAATTAATTGAAGACGGTGTAAATGTTTTTGTGGAAGTCCATATAGCAGGGAGTTCCCCATATCGAGACGGGAGGTGACAAATGAGTGCACAAGTTGTTCGGCCGCTGTTTTGTCAATGTATTTTCTAATCTAATACTACGAATGTTGCGTATATGGAAAGATGAAGTGGAGGTAATTTTAGAGATGTGATTATTCATTGTCAAAGTAGCATCCATAATAACACCAAGGTTCCTAACAAGCGGTGAGGAGTAAATTTGAGATTCTCCAATGGTGAGGTAATTTTGTGGAAGTTTTTCAAGCTGTCGACGTGAACCAATTAAAATGTATTCCGTCATTTCATCATTTAGTTTAAGAAGGTTTTGTTTCATCCACCTACGCAACTCGGAGATGCAATTTTCAAGAGATTCAAGAGAAATATGACTTTGTGAAATTGTAGGCTTAAATGAAAGGTAAATCTGTGTATCATCAGCATACACATGGTAAGATAGATTATATCTACTAATGATATCTCGGATTGGGTATATGTAAATAGTAAACCACTGGGGTCCGAGGACAGATCCCTGTGGTACAGAATGATTCAAGAAGACCGGTTCAGAAACGGCTTCCCCCACACATACATGTTGAGGTCTATGAGACAAGTACGACCGGCACCATTCCAATGCACGGCCTTTAACACCAATATACTTACTAAGTCTAGCAAGCAAAATACTATGGTCAATAGTGTCGAACGCAGCACTCAGATCCAATAGCACTAGAGCAGTGAGTTTCCCCTCATCCATAGCACGCAGGATGTCATTGTGAACACAAAGTAAGGCGGTTTCCGTGCTGTGGTGTGCTCTATATGCAGACTGGAACGGGTCAAGCAGAGCGTGTGTTTGAATGTGTGCCAAAAATCTTGTTGATGCAACTCTCTCTATTGTCTTCCCTAGGAAACTTAAATTTGAAATAGGCCTATAATTATTTAGAATTTCAGGATCAAGGTTGGATTTCTTCAGTGTAGGGCGAATATGTGCAATCTTAAAAGCAGCAGGAAATCAGCCACATTCCAAAAACTTATTGACTATATTAGTGATGAATGGAACAAAGACATGGATGCATTTTCTGATCAAGGAAACTGGTACAGGGTCAATTTCACAGGATTTAGGTGGTGAATTTCTAATAAAGTCAGATATCTCTTCCTCACTTGCGGATTTAAACTCCTCAAACAGTGTGGGCGTATGACAAGAACCAGAAATTAAGGAAGAATCAGTATTGTCCTGAGAGTTATCCTGGATCAAAGTATCCCGAATTTTCCGAACTTTGTTAACAAAAAAGACAGAAAACGTCTCAGCAAGATCTTTGTCAGAAACAGTAAATGGAAGAACTGATTACTTTGAGCGGTGTAGTAGGTCATTTAAAACCTTGAACAGTTTCTTCTGATCACCTGAACAGTCTTTAACAAGACCAGAATAGTACTCCGTTTTTGCCTGTTCAATAAGATTAGTAACCAAACATCTTTGATTGCAGTATTTTTGCCTGTGAACAAGATCAGAGATCTAAAGATGCAATCTCTACCATGCATCAATGGCGGCGCTGGATCTCAATAGAGATTCTTTAATAATATATAAGAGTTTGAAAGGCAAATGGGAAAAACCCATAAAACAGCAAACGGCCATATAATGCAAAACAATTTAAAATTAAAATTAAAACGGAACAGTAAAGAAAATCCGATCAGAATGACAAAATAAACTAAGCATCCACTGGAAGGAATCCCAATATCTGCAGACGGATCCGTTTCGGCCTTCTAGGCATCATCAGTGCAGCTAGGGTACAGACCCAAACGAAACGTTTGACCAGCTTAGGTAGGGCCGAAACTAGTCCCACGACCACTAATGATTACAGAGTCAAACCAAGGCAGGAAGGTGCAAATTAATGCATTAAAGTTTCAGAAATTTGAAGTATAATTACTTTTCAGAATGCAAATAGTGGAATACAAGCTATGCGGCTCGTTTCCAGTAGATACAGAGAATATTTTTGTCATTCTTAACGCGTCCTACGAAATTCTTACGAGGCAGCACTAGTCCGTGAATTTGTGAACAAGATCAGAGATCTAAAGATGCAATCTCTACCCTGCGTCAATGGCGGCGCTCGATCTCAATAGAGATTCTTTAATAATATATAAGAGTTTGAAAGGCAAATGGGAAAACCAATAAAACAGCAAACGGCCATATAATGCAAAACAATATAAAATTAAAACGGAACAGTAGAGAAATTAAATAAACTAAACAATACAGTTTGCCTTCCAATTCGAGGTTACTTCTGGGACTTGCAACTTGGGGTGGTGCCGGTCTCCAATTAGCCTAGAGGGTTAGTTTGCTTTACAGTGTATATGATTCTGAAAAAAGTCGTCTTGAATTTAATAGAGGGGTTTCGAATTCGAGACCACTTTGTCTGAACCAAATGAAAATGATAAATCTTTTAACACACCTAACCATCTAATTGGTGACCGAACCCTGAATACAGTATATATGCACATCTAAATGTAATTTGTTTGTTTCCTGATTGTACAACGTTAAAGACAGGTAGGTGCAAATTAATGCATTAAAGTTTCAGAAATTTGAAGTATAATTACTTTTCAGAAAGTACAAAAAGCAAATATTTTAACATTCTTTTTTCAATTGCTTGGTAGTCAATTTCATGTATTACTTTTAAATTACTGTATTCTTTTTGTGTGTGGGTGTGGTTGTGGGTGTTTTTGTTGAGTCAGGCCATACTGCAATTTTTGTATAAAAAACTATGTTCCTTTAAAAGGACAATTTTGACAATCGATCTTGGTGAATTATTGACCTGGCCAAAACCGGACCAGCAGGACCTCTTCGTTCGGCCTTGAATTGTAATCTTCTTCTTTCAGCAAAATCAGATGCATTTGTATACTAAGCAAGACCAAAAAGTCAAGATCATAGTTCATCTTGCACTTTCAAAGACAGTTCAAACTGGAGAGTTCTTTTTCTGTGTAAGTCAATATGATTGTGAAAATTTGTCTAAATACAGTAGCGTTATACGTTTACATTTATGGTTCGACAGAGACAGGATTTAAAACGAAGAAACAAGGTTGTGAGCATCATATGGCTGCAACTTCAAATCTAAATTAAATTAGCAATTTTTTTAACAAACAAAAGAATAGATCTTTCACATCTTTTAATATTTCCTAAAATGTTATTAATTTATCTAATATTCAGTTTCAACCAGGGTTAGGATGAAAATGACAATAATTGCGAGCTACTAACAACACCAATTTGTCAGACAGCTGCTTTCCAACTACATTACTTTCATTTTGCAGGTTGGCCACACAAACCCAGGAACATTGACTGTAAAGTTCTGTAAGTATGTCACACAATTAGAAAATGGGATAAATCTAGCTGAACCAAAGTACACCACAGTCAAAATGACAGTTGACAAGAATTCTCTCAACGAGTGTCTGACACTGGACTACTTCAAAGATCTGCGTGAAAATGGAGAAAAAATGGGAACTGAGAGAACATCTGTGATGTTCCGGTTGTGTTGGGTGAAGGTACTTGATCAAAACGTAGTTGGGGGATTTTTGAAGATATATGATGCAAAAAAAATACTTTCACATAGAAAACAGAAGGTGAGTACCACAGTAGTCACTATATTTTATACTAGTGGTTCTCAGCTATTTTTCATTTGCAAACCCTTCAGGACATGTTAAAAATCTTTACGGACCACCCCCACATGTGAGTGTTCTTGGTTTCCCCTAGAGCTCTTGTTTTCATAAACAAAAAAATCCAAGGTATGCTTGCTTGGCATTAGTCTTCTATAAATGTTTCCACATGTTTAATTTTGAGGACCTCCTAAATTTCCATGGACCCCCTGGAAACTTCTTTGACTTTATGATGATAATAATGGGACTAATCTTTATGAAATCTTATTATTTATGTCCAATCCCCACCCCTCCATTATACAATATTTATAGCATATACATAAAGTATCGAAAATGATCCATCCAGTTGGTGTAAAATGTATTATTACAAGTACTATAAAGTGCCTCAAACTCTACTATAAATGTACTTAGCATTGTATACGTTTGATGATTTCAGAAGTTAGTGAAAAGTATTTCTTCACCAGTGCCAATACAACAAGTCAACATCCAGGTATTTTTAAAATGTGTTATACAGTACTTCTCATTAATGTAAAAATACAAATGAAATTAACATTAGCATAAACAATGAATTAAAGAAAAGAATTTATGGACCAATGAAAGGAGCGATCCGGTTAATTTACACTTCTTATGCTGCTATTCAATCAGTAAAGCCCATCTATCATACAGTATTTATTTTCCCCCGATATTTTCTTAGCCATTTCATAAACCACAGCAAGTATCTGACGATGCTAGTTTTATAAACCATCAACATATGGAAGAACTTAATTCAGCATCAAAAATCACTCGACAACAAGCATATGAGGACTCAGATCCAACTGGAATGGGAGGAGGTGGATATGTGACTTCAACATCTGATAATTTAAATTCACCTCCAGATCTTAAAATAGTTTCAGATACAGCAGTAGCATCTAAACCACCAGTGAATGAATGGAAGACTCACAATGACAACAATGAATATGGCCAACAAGGAATTGAGAGTGGTGGAACAGGTTTAGCCCCAAGCAATACGTCTGCAAAGGATGTTAGAGAATTTGAGGGTATTGGACCAACAGGAAATAACCCTCAGCCAGCAAACAATGTCAATAGTGATAAACCTGCCTCAAGCATACCATCTGGGGCGAGCTCGTCAGATGGGGGAACAAAAGAGAAGCCTGCCAATGATGTGGATGATGGATATGTTGGAAGAACCAAGGGTATGGACCCAAGTAGCACCTCCAATTCTATGGCACAGACAACTGAGAAAAACGGTGGACTTGCAAAGGAAGTTAGTGATGGGTACGTTTCACAAGAGAAGGCCACTGACCCAAATAAGTGATTGTAAACCAGATGAGATCTTGTCGATCCTCAAAAGAATTCTATGTCTTCACCAAAGTCTTATTAAATTTTTTCTAATCAAACTTTTATTCTAACATATTTTAATGTATTCACAAATTGAATGTCTGAATGCAGTGAATGATGATAAATTATTGTAAATGAAAAGGTGTTAATGGTCATAGTTTTTTGTAGCAATACAATTTTTTTGTGACGTTAGAAAATTGTATGTCAACTATGAACTCTACCTATCAAGAAATGTAAATACTTGTACAAATTTATTAAATTTCTTCACTAAACTTACAAGCCAGCATTTACTTCAAGTATCATGTCTCAAATGTAACAGTATTGGCATAATTCTTGCCAAATTTTAAGGTTTTTTTTTCTATATAATGTTAGTGTTTCAATGGTATACAAATAGTTTTGGCGAAAAGTTAAAAGTGACTGACATTTTTAGTTGACTAATATGACTTAAATTGTTTCGATTATTAAGGAACTGTTCGGCCACTCGACTTGCACAAGTAAATATTATGTCCTAGGTGTATGTATAAATGCTGTCTCTTATACACATCTTAGATTAAAAGGCAAAATACTGAAAAACAACAATGCTGTGGGAAACAATGGCTGAATCTCGGTGGAGATACAAAAATGATAAGCAACAGCTAAAAAGTAAACGTAAGTAAACAGCCAGAAATACAACCAGAGCTTTCGGACAACACTAGTCCTTCCTCAGTGGCGAGTGAGTGAGGGTTGAAAAAGCCAGATAGTATAAAGTGAGAAATTCATGCAAGCATGATTAGAAACAATAGGCTAGGTGGGATTAGAATAAACAGCCTAAACAAGTAAACAAGAACATCATTGTAGTATTGTGGCATACTGAAACTTAAGAGATCCAAAAAAAGTGTTGGTAAAGAAAAGGATTAATAAGCCTATTGTGAGAATTGACATTTATTATAATTTACTTGTCACTTTTAGAATGTGAATTTTTCTTTTTTATGGAATGAATTTTCTCATTGTTCTTCTATTTATATTTAATTAATTATAATTTCTTATGTAATATTATTTTATAATGCTATGTTTGAAACGTTTTCTGTATGCGATGTTTTAGATATGATACACTAAAAATCAAAAACAAAGAAAAAAAAATACATCCTAGGTTGACATTGTTGTGGTGATCAAAACTACATTATTAGTTATATTTATTTTTATTTGTATAATAATCACCATTAATATTAATATTTTTTATCCTGCAGTGGCGGGCCACCCACTGTTGAATGCGAATTAAATAAAATTAAAAAATAATATATCATTATTATTACGAATATATTTTACAAATAATATCAACTTACTACAGGGCAAGATACATGCACCTACTTACGGTTTACAAAAACATAAAACAATTTTTCAATTCCAATACAGACAGCCACCTTGTTGTAGTAACTATTATAATTTATAGATTATGATTAGGCCACAATATTAAGAATCATGACCTATCTCTATTTTTCTACAGTTACAGTTTGGCTATCTTTCTTTCTTTTTATTATTTATCCTGGGGGACTGCTCAGGCATAAAATCCCTGGTCCTCCGCAGATCCCAGCAAAGAAAATAAGTGGAGTTGAATAGCTGTAGTGGAGTTGAATAGCTGTAGTGGAGTTGAATAGCTGTAGTGGAGTTGAATAGCTTGGTGGTTAAGATGCTTGCCTTCCAATCCCAGGGTCCTGGGTTCAATTCCTGCCAGTTGCAGGATTTTTTCTCACGACATAAACAACTCCACTCCCTAAATCTCATATTGAGATTTAGTTTGTGTAAAGCATTGTGTGTATGTTTGTCTTGTGTAGGGGATTGTCACCTACAAGTAGGACAGTGATATATATTCGCTATTGGCAATCCTTGGCACATGTGTTGTGTGCCTAAAGAAAGTATAATAATAATGATAAAATAACATAATCAGATGAATTTCATTAAAACAGAAAAAACATCAAACACAAGCAAGGTAAGCAAGCAAGCTTACACAAAGAATTATACAGTGCCAAGCAATTTCATCCAGTGTCAAAAAACAGTACATTCTCTTACTTTTTTTTAAAAGAAAAAATCTGAAATTGCCATCTTCAAATACATTATTCTAATGTATATATATATATATATATATATATATATATATATATATATATATATATATATAAGA